CAGCAGTAGAATTGACTCAAACCTAAGCTCGGTAATTTATTTAATTTGCAAGCTGTACTTCTAAAGCAACAAAGTTTTCATTTGCTCTATCTTCATGTATCCATCTTAGTAGTTTGATGTAGAATACGTTTTAAACATTCTAATAATGTTTAAGTGATCGTTTTGCAGTAAACTGTAGTTATACTTGTTACTATATACAAATACATGTATTCATATGTATGTGTGCACGCATGCATGCTTTGGGGGTAAGAAGAGGAAAAACCAAAATAAAGCATAGAACAATGTTTGGGATTTCATAATTCTTATAATGCCTTTCAAAGAGTCCAACTGAAAAGTGACGAAACCTGAATAATGATTAAACAGATGAGTATTTACCTAAAGTGAATTCTTTGAGGCTGAAACAACATTCACAATTTACATGTAGACTTTGGTCATTTTGATGTTGCCACTCCTTGTTTCTTTGATCTTTTTAAACCATAAAGTAGGGAGTTGGTGTGGCCCTAGGCTCCCGAGAGCACTGAGTGAGTTTTCATGCCCAGGTCCAGGTCTACCATACCAATCTTCAGCCATCTCCAAGCCACGCCCAGCTCTCTCCACTGTCCCATACTGCCCTTTTCCCAAATCTTGCTTCCCTGGAAGTATTGACTTTCCCTATTGAAATGTAAACTCCTTGAAGGCAGAGATCCTGTTTGCTTATATTTATAGCCCAAGCACTTAGCATGGTACCAGGAACACTGATGTTCCAAGTTAAGTCAACAAAAATTTGTCAGGCCTCCATTTGTGCCAGGAACTATGCTGAGCACCGGGGATACAAAGAAAGGCAAAAACAATTGCTGCTCTCAAGATGTTCATATTTTAATAGGGCAGATGATGTAAAAAACCTTTTTCCATTCATTTCACATTCCAAGTGAACCTACATTATTAAGAAAACCAATGTATTCTAGGTCACATGTTTCTTGGTTGCTCTTTTCTGATCAGGCCTAAAGAGAAAGGCCCAAGTACCTAACATACGATGCACTCTGGAACATATTCTTCCTGGGAAAAAGTGCTATTGAGAAGGAAGGGAAGGAAGTAAAAACTGCTGTTGGCAATGGGTACATGTACAAAAGAACACAGATGAGACCTGAGTATAATTGACTCTAAATAGAAATTCTATCAACATGTAGGCTAGTGAGGAGAATTAGTAGACTCATCTAGACATTGCTTAAGGGACAGTGTGGCAGGTGAGGTCAATGATGGGGGGAAAATTTTGAAATATGTTATCCAATCAATTCTACTTTTTCAGTCATGTCCAGTGGAGTGGTTTGACATTTCCTTCTCCAGCTCATTTTGCAGATGAGGAAATTGAGGCAAACTGGATTAAGTGACTTTCCCAGTATCTGAGGCCACATTTGAACTCAGGTCTTCCTGACTCTAGGCCCAGGGCTCTACTCACTTCACCACCCAGCTGCCTGATCAGCACTTAGAGAGATTCTTAGAACAACCTTTCTCAAACCAACACCTTAGAGGGGAGCATCAGGCCAAAGAACTTCCCATTCTAGAACACTAGCCTTTCTCTCAGTTGGCACTTATATTTCTTAATTATCCTCCGTTCAAATGTCACTGACGAAAAACTCATTTTGGTTTAAGTACAGACTTTATTTTATTGAAGAGGAGGGAAGAGAGTAGATGGTCAAATAGAATGCTGAATTTGGAATCAAGAAGGCCTGAGTTCCAAAACTGCCTTAGGCATAACTAGCCATGTGACCCTGGGCAAATAGTTTAATCTCTCTCAGGCTCAGTTTCCTCATCTGTAAATGGCAGTAATAATAGAACCTACCTAACAGGGGACTTTCAAAGGTACAATGAGGTAACATTTGTAAAGTGCTCTGAAAACCTTAAAGTGCTGTATAAATGCTAGCTATTATTAAGTCAAGTTAATCAGCATTTGACTTGGCATTGTCATTACTGCTGTTGACTCATTTTCCAGTCATGTCCGACCTTTGTGGCCTCTTTTAGTTGCCATTTTTTTCTCCACTCCATTTTACAGATGAAGAAACTGAGGAAAACAGAATTCAGTAACTTTCCCAGAATCACATAGCCAGTAAGCACCTGAGGCTGGATTTGAATTCAAGTCATCCTGACTCTAGGCTCAACACTTTATCCACTGTGCCACCTAGCTGCCCTTGGCTTGACATTACTATTAATATTACTATGTTACCAATCTTTTTTGTTCATTTTGGTTTTTTTTCCCCTAATAATGGAATGAGAAGGGAAGGTTTAGACATGATCTTCAGGGCTATAGTCCCAAATCAAACCAAACTTAAAGCAATTCTTATCAACAAATATATATGTGTGTGTGTATATATATAAATATATATGTGTGTATATATATACACAGAGAGAATCTATAGATATTTATTTTATATTTATATACCCCATATATACCTACATATGTAGGTATATATGTAGCATATATGTGTATATGTGTGTGTTTATATACATGTCTATATATGTGTGTATGTATGTATATATATGCATATATATACATATATGTATATATATACATATATATATATAAAACCTAGAACAAAAATTAGAAAATAACAACGTTCAAAAAATGCACCTTAACATCTTAACATATGCATGCTAGAAAAAATATTGGGCAAATAAGATTTATTTAAATAGTAAAAATTAGGGGAGACATTATTATCACTTCTCAAAGAAGAACAATTTTCAAAATACCTTGAACTTCCGTAAAAGAGGTTCTCAAACTTGCTTATGCCATAAAGGCCATAAAGACCTATTCTAGTCTGGTCTGGCCAGTAGAACCCCTTCTCAGAATAATGCTTTTAAATACATAAAACATATGGAATTCAAGGAAATTAATTTTGCTGAAATGCAGTTATAAAAAAAAACAACACAGAACTTAAGTTACCAGCCCTGTTCTAGACCACCATTTGCATCTTGAACATGGTGGCTTATTACGGTCAGATTGAAATAAACACAGATAATGTTACAGTTAGGTGGCTCTAATGCATGGAGTACCAAGCTTGGAGTCGGGAAGACTCATCTTCCTGAGTTCAAATTTGGCCTCAAACACTTACTAGCTGTGTGACCCTAAAAAGTCACTGAACTGTGCCTCAGTTTCCTCATCTATAAAATGAGGTGGAGAAGGAAATGGCAAACACTCCAGTATCTCTGGATACGTAACTCCCCAAAATCATTCACAAAAATTTAGACATGACTTAAAAACAACAAACAATAACATTGTCACCTAGTTCTTCACTGGGGCAGAAGGGAATAAGAGGACCACTGACTTTCCTGTCAGACCCACTGACGATTTGGTCGCTTTACGTAATGAATAAAATTTAAGCTGTTTGGAAGAAAAGGGGGAGGAGGGTATCCGTTTATTTTTGTCCTGGTAGCCCCAGTACCTAATACATATTAGGTGCTTAATAAAACATTTTTAGCTGAGCTGTGGACATTCCAAGGACAGGAAAAATTCCACTTGTCAACATAGGAGACTGTTCAAGTTATCAGCTTGGTATTTCTTGGCCAATGCTGCCTGTTTTCTCTTTTCCTTAACTATAAAAGGCATTCGCAGAAAAAGAGGAGGATCATTATTTCTTCAGAGTTCATCTGCTCCTGCTGGTTATTCCCCAGCTCCAGTCATAATCCTGTTTGCAACATCATAATTATTTACACAGCAAACAATCAGGATGTGTCACAAACAAAGAATTATAACTAGAGATGGGGGAGGGGGATGAATCGCAGGAGCAGACAACCTCTATGGAAATACAGATTGCTTCCAAGCAAATGCAGCTAGCAATACATATGAGAGAGAGAGACAGACAGAAAAACAGACAGACACGAAGCCAGAGAGAGAGATGAAAAAACAATAAAATAAAATGTTCTATAATAATTTTAATCACAACAACATTTATTAATCGCTTCCTATGTGACTAGGGTAGTGTGCCTGGCATAGGGGATAGATGTATAAAAATAAAGCAATTCCTGCCCTTAAGGACCTCATACTCTATTGATGGAAACAACACCTACACCTAGTAAAAACAAAATGTGTGTAAAATCAAGGGCAAGTTATTTCTAGTTGGGGGTGGAGACCAAGAACTGGCGTGGTTAGGGAGATGTTTCGCATAAGGAGGACACCTTTAAGCTTTGGTGGGAGCTAAGGACCCTAAGAGTGAGAAGCGGGGAGGAAGTGCATTTGATGCAGAGACAGCAGCCTGGGCCAAGGCCTAGAGATAGGAGATACAACACCATGTGTGAATAGCAGCAAGGAGAGGCTGAGGAATGTTTAATAAACCTGGAAAGAAAGGCTTGAAGGGTTTGAAACAGATGGGCTTATATATTTATCTCAGAGGTAACAGGGAGCTAATGGAGTTTTAATTTAATCTTTTAAAAGTAAGAGTGTGATATGATCACCAGATAGACCTGTGCTTTGGGAATATTGTTTTTGGCAGATAAGCGGAAACTGAATTGGAGAGAGGGACATGAGGGAAAGAGGCAAATGAGGAGGCTGTTGTAGTGATCCGGGTGAGAGATAAGAGCATATTTGGATGAGGGTACTTGATGGATACAGGAGTCAAGAGAAGGGTGCATATGTGAGAAATGTCATAAAGGCAGAATCTAGAAATTTGGGAAATGCTTAGCTATTGAGGAAAGAGTCGTAGTTAATTTTGATGGGTGATTAGAAGCATGGTGGTGGTAACACAGGGAAATTAAGAAAAGGGATAGATTTTGGAGGAAAGATAATGAGTTGGACATGTTGAATTTAAGATGCAAATGGGAGACATCAAGTTGGAAATGTCCAAAAGACATTTGGTGATATAAGACCAGAGCTCAGAATGACTCAGGCTGGAATACAGATCTGGGAGTCATCTACATAGAAATGATAATGGAATTCAAGGGTGATAATGACCACCAAGGGACAGAAGTTGTCAAGAGAGAAGAAAACCCAGGACAGAGGCAAGAAAATACAACCAGAGTCCATTTTTTTTTAATTTCCAAGTTTAATGTCAAAAATTCCTTTACATAACAGCTCCAAGCAAGCATACAAGCAAAACTTAGATGAATTTTTACCCAGTAAGTGCTTTGGAAGCAATGGAGTGGTAGTCACAAAAGTCTGCTAGTACAGTAGTAAGCCTCTGGAATTTCACAATCTAAGGTTCTTTAATAAGATCCTCAGCATTCTTGATCTCTGCACAGCTATTGATCCTACTGAGCATCTCCTCCTGAATAAGTTCTACTCTCTAGGTTTCTGTACTCAAGTCTCTGCCTACCTGTCTAATATCTTCTTTTCAGTCTACTTTTCTGACACTTCATCCACTAACCATGGGTGTTCCCCCAAGGCTCTGCCTTTGCTTTTCACTCTACACTCTCTCTCTTGGTGAACAAGTTCCCATGAGTTCAATTATCCCCTCTTTGCAGATGATTCCTAGATGTATGTATAAAGTCTTTGTCTCTCTAATGAGCTAGTCATGCATCAAGAATTGCATTTTGGATATCTTGAACTGGATACCCTGTAGGCCCTGAAATCTGACATGCCCAAAATAGAATTCATAAGATTCTTTCCCCTATCCCAACCTTCTCTTTTTCTGAACTTGTTACAAATAAGGGCACCAACAACTTTCCAGTTACCCACAACTCCTCATTTTCACTTCTCCATAATCCATCCATTTTCAAATATCTCTTGTATATGTTCCCTCCTCTCCACACATGCAGTCACAAATGTATTACATTTCACCTGTACTATTATAACTTTCTGGCTGTTCTTCTTGCATCATTTCTCTCTACTCGCCAGTCCATGTCCATTTATCTGCCAATGAATTTTTTGAAAGTATAGAAATATACTATCTAATGAACTCCACTAGCTCTCCATCACCCCCAAGATCATATGTGTGTGTATTTCCTCTGTTCAGAATTTAAAGAACTCCATAACTTGTCCCCTTCCTACATTTAAAGTCTTTTTCACATTTTACTCCCCCACCCACTCCCATACTCTCTATGATCCAGCTCTATTGGCCTACATTCCATTCTTTACACGTGACATTCCATCTCCTGTCTCCAGGTCTTTAGAAGGATTGTTTCCAAACCTAGAATGTCTTCCCCCTCAATTCTGCCTCTTACTTTCCCTGATTTCCTTCAAGACTTGGTTCAAATCCCATTTTCTATAGGAGATCTTTGCCTAAGTCTATAGTGCTTCCCTCTCTGAGGCTGAATATTATGTATGTGTATATATACATATTTGGTTTATAAGAATCTAGGAATATCATATTAGATAGTTATCATTTATATGTGTTACTATATACCAAATTTTCAAATCATTCAATTCGTGAACATAACTTCATTAAGTACGTTCAAAAAGTACTTTACAAAATTTCATTGTGTCAAGTACTATGCTAGACAGTGGGCATTCAAATACCAAAGTTGATAAATATTTGCTATGACAATTAAATGAGAAAGATCTGAAAGTATATAATATATATTAAATGTGAGGGAGTGTGTGACCATCTCGAGATTGAAAAAAAAATAAATAGCACTGGGCAAAGCATAGGTCTATAGGACTAAAGTAGATCTCCTTACAAGTTGACATTAAACATCAATGACTACTCTGTGTGTTGACCATTCAAAAAATTAAATACGCCAAACTGTACTATCATTTCATTTCATACTGCTGTATCTGTCTTACAAAAGCATAAAAAAGAAACTTAGTTAAATGTTCTGCCAAAATTTAAGTAAAATGAATCTTCAGCATTCCCCTAACCCATCAGTTTGAAAAAAAAGACATAAGTACAGTCTGGCATAACCTGAGCCTGTTGGAACCATCCTGGAGCTGTACCGTTACTACTTCCTTTTCTAGTTGTTAACTAACCATTCCTTTAATAATACATTCAAGCATATTTTTAAGAGTTGAAACCAAGCTCATTATCATACACATTGTAGATTTTGTTTTATTTTTTAAAAAGTTAAGCAAAAAGTTTAAAGTGATATCTGTTACATCAACTTCAAAGAAATGTTTTGAATCTTCTTTGCTCTCCTAACCATATGTTACTATAGAAAAAGCATTTAAATTGGAGTCAGCTGGGCTTTAATTTCACTCATTATTTACTATTGTGTAATCTGGGAAAAGTCACTTCAAGTTCATGACCTCAGCCTCCTTAGCTATAAGACTTGGGGGGAGGGGGTGTACCAGAAGTCTCATACAAGCACAAGACCTCTCTGAAGCTATGAGAACTCCTAAAAATAAAAGCTAGGTTTTGCTTTGTGTTGTTTTATGAATAGAAAGACACAGCTTCTCTTCATTAACCATGAATTCAACTGAAGTAGGTAAATTGCTGTGTTTGAGTCAAATTAGTCTCTTTTGAAGTGACAATGTCACTCAATGCTTAAAAATGTCTTTCAATAACAAATTCTTTATTGAAATGCTCCATTCTGTTTTGACGTATATGGTTTCCTTGGGCATTCAATTCACAACCATGTTTTCTTCCTAACCCAGATCTTGTTAATGAGATCTGAGAAACAAGGTATATTTGGAAATATTTCTTGTAAACCCTTAGAGCGCTATCTCAATGTGCTGTTATTAATGGCACTGCTACTACTACTAAGATCGTTGATCCTTCAAAAGAAATATATCTTAAAGTTATAACAATTTCAGCAACTTTCATTAATATGCAGGCTTTGAAATGAGATCTCAATAATCCATTTTTTCGTCAGCTAAGACCAGTATGTAGGTTCATTTGGTTAAATCTTGTCTTATATTTGTTTTCATCTGTGAACACAAAAGTTAAACATAAGGAACTGATCAGTCTCTTCTTCTTCTTGGTCAGTGGAGGGCAATGACTTGTAGCTTTTCCAGAGAGTTCTCTTCTTCATCCTCTATGCTGCTTTCCGACGACAATAACAGACCGTAAACTTCAGCATCCAAGCTGGGGGATTCAAAACACATCAATAATCAACACTCAGAAGAGAAAATCGGGGTGTGAGGAGGCCTTCAAGACCAGTACCACACCTACATAATGAAGGGCATGAAGCTGGTTTCAGATCACCTGGAGTTTCCACTGGTAGCTAACAGCTCTCAGACGGATTGCAGTTGGCAGCTTCTTGTTTCACCAAGGAAACTGCTCCCATCCATTGAGATCATCAAGTCATCTGGAATGTATAGACTTAAGAGAAATGCCAGGGCATGGGAAGGTTCAGTGACTTGCCTCTGGTCACACAGGTAGGATCTATCAGAGGCAGGGCTTTACATCAGGTCTCCCTGGCTTCTAAGAAATATTCTCTATCCACTATGCCATACTGTCTTTTCGTGGTACACATATCATACTATTATGTAGGAAACTATCTTGGATGAAAAAGTTAATTCATCAGCATTCTGAAAAATACAGAGTCCCTATCAACTGGTGCCTATCTTCGATTGGTATATTCACTTTACTTGATGAATTGTTATAACAGTTAAAATATGGGCAGCTAGGTGGAACACTGGGTTGAGTATTGGGCCTGAAGTCAAGAATGTTCATCTTCCTGGGTTCAATTCTGGCCGCAGACACCTACTAGCGGTGTGACCCTGGGCAAGTCAGTGAATCCTATTTACCTCAGTTTCCTCATCTATAAAATGAGCTGGAGAAGGAAATGGCAAACCACTCCAGTATTTTTTTCCAAGAAAACTACAAATAGGGTCACAAAGAGTCAGACATGGCTGAAATGACTGAGCAAGTTAAAATCTGAATCTCTGAACAAGCTAGCCTTAATTTTCAGATGAAGAAGCTCATTGCAGCTGGGAATAATCCCAATTACTAATATCACTTATATGTAATTCCGTGGATCATGGAGAAATCAGTGCTGAAGAGCTTGGGACGCACTAGGATGATTTATTCGAATACTCAACTATATTTACACATATGCTACTTTTAGTCAATACAGGAAGATTCCTAGAGGGTTCTCCCCCCACCCCACATAATCCCCTTGTTCTAGCATATTATATGGATGGCACAGAACAATTGACCTCTTCCAAGTTGAAACAGTATAATATAATTCTACAAAACGTAACATGGCATAATTTCAAGAATTGTTAGCCTTTTTTCTAAATCTGCTCTGGTGTAATTAGAGCCTTGGGAAGCACACACTTGTGGGGCATGTATTTCATTATGCTGCTCGGGAAAGGAATTCAGCATGTCAGCAATTTCACCGCATGCCATTTGTTACTTACCTTGAAATGTCAAGTCTACTGGAGTCCCTTAGTCCTGATATCATTGGGACTTCTGTCTTAGTTTTACTTATCTTCTCTGAATGTCTGTTGATGCCCGATAACTTTTCAGAGTTTAAGCTGTAAGGTCTTTCTGGAGCATCTGAAATATTTTATATGAGACACTGTCACTGTTCTATCTCATGACAAAAAGCGCTGACAATTTACCTAGGAATGGTAAAGAGTGTGGTGTGTCAGTTCATATATACAACTAATTCTCCATTCTCTGTGCAAAGGAGCAATGGGGAGATCAGTGATGCAGATGTCTAAAATTGGCCAGTGATCAAAAAATCAGCTTGTGGATACCTTTATAATTATATTTGGAATGGACTACCTAACAGGTGAAAAATTCACTAAGTTTAAGAGAAAATGATAAAGCTTGTCAATGAAGCCAGGATGCTGTTATATTGTTCTATACTGACCCCACATTCAACTCTTCCTTGAGGTCCTCTTCATAATTGGAAATTACAGCAACTGTGCTGAGATATTCCAATTAACACTGGACGATATGACCTCTGAAGTCCCTTCTGACCCTAATATCAGTGATTCTAAAGCAGAGTGCTTCCTTAGAAAAGCTGCCCTTTCCAGGTAAAGTACCTTGTTCTATAGTTCAATATTTTCCTTGGGATTTGAGAGGCAATTAAAATTCTGAGTTTTAAAAGATAGAACTTCAATTCTCCTTTGCTTCCAGATCCTGTTGTGAGCTATAGGTCATAAATCAACGAAGGAGTAAGCAGCTGTGTAGTGATATGAAGAAGTTACACAAAATGTGTCAATAATATTCATAACCACAACTGCCATTCATATCACTTTAAGGTCTGCAAAGCACTTAGTATATATGATCTCATTTGATCCTAATATCCTTGAGGGGTAAATAGAATCTCTACTGTGGTGATAAGTAAATGGGCCAATAGGGATAACCACATACAGGAAACAGAGTACTTCCACACAGAGTTTAGATAAATCTATTACTTCATCAACATGCGTCTTCCTTCTACCATTGCAGAAAGCAGCTCATTGGTACCTTCTTATCCTATGGAATTCTCATTTTTATCTTTCCATATTCCATATCCATCTCCACAGAAGATCTAGCTAACAACTTGGTAACCTTCCTCTAGATGTCTTTTAACATCTCATGAATGTGATGTGCATGGAATTTGTCCATCTGGAATCTCTTGCTCTCACTGCATGATTGGCTATTTCGGTTTCTGTTCACACGTGTCTATAATGGCTGGGGTACTGGCATGGAAGCCCATGTGATCTGTTTATTGACGAGAGTGATGCCATTTTAGAATAAGCCTCCCTTTCAGCATAAATGGAAAGCCACTTCTACTCACTGTGTCTTGGCTCTTCTCTACCCCAGCCATTGTCAAAAAACAAAAAAAAACTAACAGTCCTCTTTTGAATCATAAGGATAATGAGACCGGTGAAGTAGGAACCTCTGTCCACTCCTCTAGAAAAATAATAAACTGACTCCAAGGCCAGTGGCTGACTGGGTGTGAACCCAGCATGAGGATATGTTTCCTATGTACAGTAAGTATCCATGAGAAATAGCTCCCATTCAGAGGCCCACTTGGCCCTGAGAGACCTTCCCTTCTCTCTGGCTTTCTTCACTTCCTCACTTGTAACCACAAACGATATTAAACTTTTTACTGATGGACTCCCTAGATTTTGAGCAATGTGTCCTCCTTCCGTGGCAGTTTTGTTAGTGAATCCTAAGCACAGAGGAGTGAAAAGAAACAGCTTCTTCCACTCTCCTCTTACTGTCATATTTGAGGGAAGAGGGCTTTTTAATTACCATTACGGGGCTCAGGAATATTGGCACCTATAACTCCATATTTCTTGGAGGCTCGGAATTTCCCTTTTTCTTAGGTCGGTAAAAGCCTTTCATCTAAATCATTACTCTGTTTCATCCTTAGTGTGGCTGATTCAAGCCCTATTGTTGGTTCCATAGTAGCAGAAGCTTAAGGTTCTGCAAGAAAGAGTCTATATTTATTACCTGCAGAAAGTACCATGGCAGGCTTAGTCTGCTGAACATCTGCCTTCTATTCACATGTTGCAAATGAAGCTGGAGAAAGTAATGAAACCATGCTGACTAGGCGCATAACAAATAAATTAATGCTATATAATCTCAACTGGGCCCTCACTGTGGCTGGCAATCCTTTATACATACCTGGTCAATTCACTATACAACTCACCACAGAGACTTTTCCAAACATTTCCATCCCTCTCGTGGCCCTCTCTCCCACCACTCTGTTAGCTGAGGATTTTGTCTGATACTTCACTGAAAAAATATAGGCCATTTATTTGCAAGAGCTCCCTCTTCTCTCCCTCTCCTCATCTTGCATCACTCACATGCCTTATGCCACTATCTCTCCCTAAACCTAGTCTCACATGAAGAGGTGGCCCTTCTCCTTGCCAAGGCAAACTCCTGTACATGAACAGGCAATCTTATTCCATATGGTCTTCTCCAGCAAACTGTCCACTCTACCATTCCCATTCTCTCACTAATTATTGATCTCTCCTTGTCATTTCCCTACTCCGGACAAACAGACTCATATCTCTCCATCTTTAAAAAACATTTACTTGATCCATCCATCCCCACTAGCTAACATCCAGCACTTTCTCCCTTTGATGGCTAACCTCCTTGAAGATCAACCTACCAACAGGTGTCTACTCACTTTCCTCTCAGTGTTTTCTGAACTCTGTACAGTCTGGCTTGCAACCTCATCATTCGATTGAAACTGTTCTCTCCAAAATTGCTGTGATCTTAAATACAAAATTAATGATCTCTTCTGAATCTCCATCTTCCTCGACCTCTCAGCAGCCTTTAATAGGGTCAATCACTCTCTTCTCTCTTGTTTTCATATCATTTCATTTCATTTCTCTCATGGGTCTCCTGATTCTACCTATCTGCCCACTCATTCTCAGTCTCCTTTGCTGGATCTTCATTTAAATCACACCTGCTACTTGGCAGTGTCCCCCAAGGCTCTTTCCTGGGTCCTCTCACCTTTCAATTCTATCCTAATAATACTTGGTGATCTCATTAGACCCTATGGATCTAATGGTCATTTCAGTGCAGATAAGATTCTCAGATTTATTTATCCAATCTTAATGTCTATTGTGAACTCCAGTATAGAATCAACAACTGCCTACGGGACACCTCAAACTGGATGATCCACATACATTTGAAATTCATCATCTTTTCCTCAAAACTTTTGCTTCTTTGTAACTTTCTGATTACCACTGATGGTATTATCATCCTCCCAGTCACTTAGACTCACAACCTGTCATCTTTGACCCTTCAAATTCTCTTTCACCCCCTGTATCCCATCTACCTCCAATTAATCCCCTGTGGATTCTACTTTCATAGCATCTGTGGTATGCATCTGCCTCTCTCCTCTGACACTATCACCACCCTAGCACAGGCCTGATGGGGTCTGCCTGCTTCAAGTCTCTCCCCTCACCGATCTATCCTCCACTCAGCTGACAAAGTGATCTTCAAGTGCAGGTTTGACTAGATCACCCTCCACCCACAAATCATTATATTCCATTGGCTCCCCGTTAGTTTCAAGATGAAATACAAAATCTTCCATTTGGTTTTTAAAGCCCATCAACCTGGCCCCCTTTTACCTCTCCAATTTTAAACTTATTCCCTCCTCCACGATCTGCAATGCAGACAAACTGGCATCCTCGCCATTCTTTGCACATAAGGCGCTTCATAAATTTTCACTGGCTTTCCTCCATGTCTCTCCCTCCTAATCTACACTTCCTGCCTCCCTTGACTTCCTTTTAAGGCTCAACTGAAATACCAGCTTCTCCAAGAAGCCTTTCCTGGTCCCTCTCAATGCTAGTGCCTTCCCTCTGGACTTAGCCCCAATTTAGCCAGCCTATATTTTGTTTGCATAGTTGTTTGCATGTTGTCTCCCACATTATATTGTGAGCTCCTTGAGATCAAAGGTTGTTTTGCCTTTCTTTGTATCTCTGACACTAAGCTCAATGCTTAGTAAATGATTGTTGATGTCTCCAGATAAGGTGTGTGTGTGTGTTGTGTGTGTGTGTGTGTGTGTGTGTGTGTGTGCGCGCGTATGTGCGGGCGCTCGCGCACGCATTTTAGATTTAAAGGGGGTGGAAGTTTTCCCCTGAGAAAATGGGCTTATTATTTGTCTGTTCCCAGCCCCCTACCCTCATCCCAACTTTGTATTTATGGATTTTCTGTTCTTCTGCCAATTTCTTTCTTTTTTCTCTGCTCGGCTGAGCTTTCTTGACTCCACGGCAGTTGAACTCCCTTTGGAAATGTGGGTGTAAGCTGATAACTTCTCATTGCTTTTCCCATGTGCCTTAATCTGTTTGAGGAAGTTCCATAAGGAAGGGATCATCAGTATCTCTATGATTTACTCTCTAGAGATTTGTCATGATAGTGCAATTAAGGGGGGAAAATCATGTCTACATGTGAATCTATCGTTTTCTAAGATGTATAAGTATGTAAGAACTTGAGAAAATACTTGGTGTAATTTGTGTCAATTTGTATATGATAAAAAAGATACTCTGAATTGAATTGTTGCCACAGCTGGGCAGTGACCTTTCTCTTCTTGGCTTGGTTAACTTGGAGGAGGAAGTATGTATTTGTGCCTGCAGGCATTGGTGACACTTGTAAATGTCACTTAATCGGGCTGCAGTCTCTAAGCATCTCTTTTAGAAAGTCAAGGTTTTTCGGTAAAGATATTCTAAACTTCCTAAATATCTAGTTATTAAGCTTAAGTCATAATGATTGTCATGTTTGCAGGTCCTCTCTGACTGTCTCCTCACCCAAGATGGGCTGAGGTGCCTGTTTTCGTTGATGTTAACAGGACTCTCCATCGATCTGGGATGATGACGATACAATCAGAGGTATTCTGGGCTGTGCCATTCCCAGGTACACTTAAATTTGAACAGTTGTTAATCTCTGCCTTCCATTCAGAATTTGGTGATCTGGTGAAAAGGGTAGAAAATCAGAAGAACGAGTAAAACACAGGTTTCACTCTTTCTTCGTTCTTCTGAAATATTTTTGCTATGAAAAATATGCCGGGGGGGGGGATATCTGTTCTAGGAGAAGGAGAAATA